CAAGATGCACCAGTAAAAATATAAAAATATGTCTAGATATGGATATTTTGCTCATGGTGTATCTCTGATATCTTTGAGGAAAGTGACAATCATGAGAATGACATACTGCACAGCTGTTTTTGTGGATTGATTACAAAACTTGGAGTTATTTTTTAAATCAACTGTTCTGTACACAATTTAATGCCTAAAAATACAAGTCTGGTTTACATTAGTCAGCTAAAGAGTTTCCCTTATCAGGCAGCTTAAATTATATCATAAAGCTTACAGTACTCTCATCTACTTAGGTTTTCTCTACTGTATTGCACTTTGAGTTATTATCTTTACTCTTATCACTGTATAAAATTCTTAAATCTTCCCAAACACATCTCACACACAAAAGGAACATACAGTAAAACCTCGCTAAGGCAAAAAAATTATTTGAAAAAAAAAAAAAGGTGGGGGGGGGGAAGAGACATAATTCGTTGTAAGATGACATGTCCACCATAAGCCAAAATTTCAAGGGAGCAAGGCGGACAGACCTTGTGATTCTCCCATGCCACACACTTTCGTAAACAAAGGGAGACGCATCACTCACTCAGTCATAAATTAGCGTCGCCCGTGATAGCACCACTTCTGCTCTCTCGCTCCGTCGATTGTGATTTATTGCCATTTAGACGTTTTGAACTTTATTTTCAATCTTATTTGACATTACCAATAATGTGATTATGCTGTAGGCTGATGTAACATATATATTTTTGCACTATTATTGAAAAATAATAACAATGGCCCCTGAGAAAGTGTTGGGTGTCTATAAGGGTGGTGAAAAGGTTAAGCCTAAAACCTTACCTGTGATAAAAAAGTTAAAGGTGATTGAAAAGCGAGTAACAGGTGCTGCTCACTCACAAATATGTGCTGAATATGGAATTTCAAAGTGCCCACACTCAGAATGACTTCAAGCCTCTTGCAGTGAGAGGCGTGTCCAGCTAGGTCTGCCTTCCATTTTGGGGGGTAAGTGTACAGTTCTTTGTGTACATTACCTTTTTTTAAATTAATTTTTATTAAAAAACATGTATTTCATTCATAAAAATTGGATACATTGGTGTTGTACTTGTTTTTTGTTTAAAGTAGAGGTCTTTTTGGAAAAATTTGCTCTTAGGTAGACAACCTCTTATCCCCCCAATCAGTCCGCCTTAGCGAGGTTTGACTACTCCTAACTTACTCAGGAGCCAATACCCTAGTGAAGAGGCAATGTAGTGCATACTATGTGCCTGTGTAGCACTAGTGATGACTAGTTAGATAATCCAGATAAATCCAGGGTAGCAGTGGTTCAGAATGAAGTGCCAGGTAATGATTTATTCAAATGATCCAGGTGTAGTGTTAAAGGCCAAAATGGAAGTGGAAGTGGACATTATAGGTATGACTGCATGTCATGATTAGTAAGGATGCAGCATACCATATACTAAGCCTTCAGTACACACAGACACACTGTGGCTGGCACTGCACTCGACCTCCTCACTTCCCTAACTTTGTAAAGTACAGGTAGCTGGGTAGCAGCAGTACTAAAACTGTGTAGTTTATATCTCAAAAGTTGATGCACATATACCATGAAAACAAATTTAAATTTCTTCTGCCATTTAAGCCCCCATTCCACAAACACCTGTTACCTGTCCATTCTAAAAATGAATTCAATGTTATGAAAACATCAAGGCCAAGTATCACAGAGGAGAGTAAACTCTTGACAATGGGAAAGTTAGGAGTGGTACACTTAAAACTGGTTACTCCAAAGTGGTGGAAAAAACACATTATGAAATTACATTTATTATAACCCCAGGTTCTGAGTTTAAATAATTAATCTTATAGCTACATTTATAAGAGAATAAAGATTTTTTTCAATATATTAAATATATCTATTCTACTTTGCATAATATAATAACTGATATTCCTCCATATGTCTGCTAATCTGGAGACATGATGGTTGACTTAGTTTTTTACTCAGCACAAGTTGAGTAAATATATCAGCCACATTGTAATATGTGAACTGTAACTTACACATAATGTAGTCATTATTCAATACATGCCCTACTGAAAAGCAAAATGCATGTAGCAAAGGGATAAAAAAATTATTGTAAAATTTAGATGTCAGTCTAATTGAGTTTATGTGAAGTAGCACCACTATTTCTACACCCCAAACCAATCCAAACATACATAAAAAAAAAAAAATTCACATGCACACATTTGAACTTCAATGTAAATGAAGCAGAAATTGTGACATTCAGGCTTTAACTTTTTTAATGTTAATTATAGAACTCGAGAAAGTCCAAGCTTTAGCTGCGAAGGGCAATAGCAACTGAATGGCTACTTTTAAAGTGAAAGCTTTTGGGTCCATCAATGAATATGCAAGTGCAGCCATGGGAGGACCTGACAAAACTCTGAATAATAATCGGCCATGACTTAAATGAAAGGACACTGTCAAATAAAATTAAAACTCTTACTTCAGAAACAAAAGGCTCACATTCAAGGGCAGGACACAGAAGGACTAATAAGGCACTGTTGGATGAGATAAACCAAGAGCTCCTCACTGCTATATGTTTGATATTATTTGTTTCTATTTGCTTTATGTTTGGTACATAAAGAAAATATGAAAAGAATTCATTTGAAGGCGAATTTCATCTGTGACTTCGACCTGTTATGATAAATATTTAAAAATTTCTAACATTCTCTCTGAAGTGCTAATCCCTTGAAATCATTTGAATTTTGATATTCCAGATATTTAGCATTATTTTAGAGAATAACAGGTCTGATTACCAATTGTGAACACATTTAGTTTGAATACATGGACAGCTACACGAACATTTTCTATGAACCAATCATCTATTTGTAACTCTATTTGAGGAAATAGTATAGACACCATATACCATATTTTGCAACCTATAAGTCGATCTTTGAAACTCCATTTTTTGTGTTCAAAACTAAGGGTCGTCTTATACAACAGGTATAAAATGTCAACCTCTAAGTACGCTTAACTACTAGCATCAGATTTACACTTTTTACCATACCGGTAGGTTTCAGCCACGTAATTTCCAGCACTCGCAAACAATTTTTACCTAACTGTAGCATTTTTCCAGAAGGGTAACTGTTACTGAACTCAGCCTAAGGTCAGTGTTTACACAAGTCATACCGACACCTTATAAGACATTAAAATATATTTCGGTGTTAACTACGGTTTCTTACAAACAAACTCTACTAGGGCAGTTCCTTGTAATATTTGTTGTTAAACTGTTTAAAAATGCAGTTACAGTATACAGTATTCACGAAATGCACTTATGCACATGGAATTTGTAAACGTTTTCATGTATGTGGTGTAAAGTTGTAAACAAGGCAGGCACCTGGGAACAGCTAGCTGGCCTGCATCAGCTCGGCTAGTGTTGTCAACACTTATTCCTGAATGTCACTAGATTTATCCCTAAAGTTGCTACAAACAGCTAAATACATAAATCTGGAAAAATACTTATACATGTACAGTATTTTCTCGATTTAACGAACTAATTTAAGCCACCCCTTTCTGTTAAATCAAAATTTTCGTTATTATCGGTTGATTTAGCAAACTAGTTAGCTAAATCGAGCACGATTACGTTAAATTGAATTTCCATTATTTTTGTTTGATTTAGTGAACTTGTTTGCTAAATTGAGCGCGATTCTGTTAAATTCCGCACCAAATGCACAGCTTGGCACGAGGGATTTGTTTCCATCTGCTCACTGTCTTAATACCACCGCATGTGTTGTTTACTGCTACCTCTTGGTCTACATCTCAGTCAACTAACTCCTGTGCTTAGACATCATGCTGAAAGTCTCTCAGAAGTCTCAGAAAGGAAGTGATGTGGGGGAGAAAGTCAAAAGAGTGCTGATATCAACTGGAAAAAGTTTGGAAATTTATGGAGAAATTTGAAAACAACACCAAATCCCCTAGTTTAAGGTAAGCCATGAGTAATGTTTCTATGTACATATCATGTGTCTGAGGTGTGTCTGTAGGTGTGAGCGCATTAACGGAATTAATCTCGATTTAGCGAACTAGTTCACTAAATTGAGTGAAAAATAACGGAAAAATTCCTTCCGCTAAATCGAGAGCATACTGTACACATAAAACATTATCTAAAACAAGAATAATTGTTAACAATGACTTGGCTAAATGCCCAACTGTCACACGTGCCATTAAAGGTAGATAATGAAAACAACGCCAAAATGGCAACTATGAGGTCAACAGATGAACGACCACTCTCTCTCTGTTGTAATAATAATAATGGATACCTCTCGAAATCAAGGATGGCCTGCCCTAGGGCCACCTAGGCGTGAATTTCTTTAAGGTGTAGAAGCTGTTGCTAAAACAACAACCACACTCTAAGTTAACAAGTTGCAAGACCCAGTGTCAAGGAATAGTCCGAAAAGACCGGACAACTCGTAAACTGCACTGGCTAACCATTGCCCCAGAACACGATTCGCAAATCGATTAACATCCAGGTTCCCAAATACTGCTGGGTAGACAGAGGCTCTGTTATACAGTAGCCCTCGCATCCTACATGTATTTATTTATATGTACCTGTATTATTATTATTATTTACTGTATTTGCCGGCATATAAGACGCACCATCGCATAAGACGCACCCCTATTTTACAAGATATTTTGTGGAAATTTTTTTTCAGTACGTTTCATCATACAATTATTGAAAGTGATTTTTAAAGTTGTTTTGTAGGGGAAAATATATGATTTTGTGCATGTAAATACAATATATACCAGAATCAAGTAGGAAATCATATACAGGTGCTCCTCTACTTACGAACGAGTTACGTTCCAGAGGCTTGTTTGAAAGTCCAATTGTTTGTAAGTCCAACTTTACTCTTGTAGATACCAAACATATTGTAAAAAATTAAAAGATTATGGATATTTAGTACAGCTATGCCCTTTAATAAAACCTGGCTCACTCTTCTCCTCTTAGGTAATGTTTGTTCTATCTGGAATTTTCTTCAAAATAATTTAGTCTCGTCCACGTTAAACACCTGTTCTGGCAGGTAATCCCCCCTCAGTGATGATGTTTGTATCTCTGAAAGTTTGTAAGTTGAACATTCTTAAGTAGAGGAGCACCTGTATAGTAACATTATACTAACCCAACTATACCTCTGATCAAAGCAGCTGTGTGGCTTGTTTATATTTTGGTCAGGATGTGAAACTCGTATTTTTAGCTGTGATGTTTTGTGTTGCCGCACTCTACCACCAGGGTGTAGCACCATCGCTATTGTTTTAGCGTCACCTACTCATTGCAAATGGCTGACTGGCGGCTGAACTTTTTGTTTAAATTTTTTTTTAATCTTTCTAGGGGCATTTTTTATTAAGATAATAAACAAATGTTTCTTAAAGGTAATACAGTCTTTCAATAATGTAAGACATGTATCTGGTGTGGGTTACGTCCGCTAGGGAAGGAGGTACAGTGAGATGTTGTGAGCTTCCCTCTGCCGTTAAGCCAATGTAAGCCATTATTTACGTCTTTGGCAAATTTGCCATAAGTTTGTGATAATAGATTGTGATAATTTGGCTTGTTTTTCAGTATTTTATTATTAGTAATATTATTAGTAACACAATTTTTAAGCTTAGTGGACTACTGCTTGTCCCAGACTCCCTAGCTAGGCACCTCCGCCTACAGCGCTCGGCCTCCAATCCGTAATATGGGCGCATTAGACGCAGGGTAATTTGTGATACATTTACAAAAAAAATGCGTCTTATACGCCGGCAAATACGGTATATGTACAGTTCTGTATACAGTATATTGTTTTAGTTATAAATAAATTAATATTTTAATCATTTACCAGTACTGTGCTGTACTGTCCCAGAGAGAGTAGTCTTCATTTGCTTGTTGCTGCATACTGCCAACACAGTACTGTATACTATCGTTGATAGTATAAAGTACAGTGCTGTTAATTGAATGTTTTAAATTGGCAATCCAATATTTACTCTACGTTTAAGCAACTTTTATTTTGTATTGCTTTAGTTATAAATAAACTAATATTTTAATCTTTTAAAAGTACTACAGAGCGTAGACTTCATTCGCTTGATGCAGCATACTACCAACACAGTGTACAGTACAGTAATACCAGAACATGGGAGAACTGTTAAAAAGTAAATGTTGGTAAGTTTAGCTGACATTGAGGACATAGCTTTCAAATTGCAGTTTAGGGGGTCAACTTACCTGTCAGGTATAGACCTAGATCAACAATTTCATTAGAAAAAATTAAGGTCGTCTTATATGCCAGGTCAACTTACAGGCTGCCATATACAGTACATTATTTTGTTAGGGGTACTGAAATAGAAAAAGAGGTGGGCTATCTTCTGATACTTTACATAGGTGAAATTTGTGATCATGCTTTTATGGGGTATCAACAGTATACAGTACAGTGAACAAAACTAATTGTCTAACAGACAGAGAAAATGAAACTCAGTGTTCACAAGGCAAGTGTGTATCAATTTACACCTGAGTCAACAAGGCCTGTGAGTTTGAAGTCCCTTGCTCATAAAGAAACTATCTTGGCTTGAGGTTTAACGAGTGAACTTCAAATTCAAGTTCACTTCTTTAGACACTTAGTTGTACATGTAACTGGCCACAAGAAAACCCACACAAGCGTGGAAAAAAATTGTAGATGATAAAATTATTATTATAGCTAATTGACAATAATAAATTGACAAAGATAAGGCATTATGTACAACACAATTTACACTTGCAGGCACTTTTCTGCTATGCTGCAGGGTGGCCTGAATTAAAAGCAAAAACCGACTCTTTTTCCCTACCTTAAATCATCTGCTCTAACTATTTTAACTTCTCCATAAAACACTCAATGCCTTGTCCTCCAATCATTCATTTACTCTACTGTTTCTTGAATAACCTTTCTCATCACTTCATGTACTTCCTTAGTCATATCCTTCTACAGTAAGACCCCTCTAAGTCAGACTTCTGTAAGTCAGAAACCTCATAAGTTGAACAAGCTCTGACTTAAGGTGCCCACACACTATCAAATATGTTTGTCAAACATGGTGTTTGATCATACAATTTGAGTGTGTGGGCAAGTTTGAAGGTATGACCAACATGTTTGAAGAAGCTTAAACGAGTTTGATATTATCTCATCCAACATGTTGGACAGTGTGTGGCAATTTATGATCAAACTTGCTCAATCGAGTAGCAGTAGCCATGGCGAGCGCACAGGACTACCATGAGTTTTGGAGAGAGTTTATTGAATTTTATAAGAAGTTTCCATCATTGTGGCAAATAAAAAGTGAAGATTACAAGAATTGATCTCTTAAACAAGAATGTTATGGGAAATTAGTGGAAAAGATGAAAGAAATCATCCCTACTGCGACCAAGGCCTACTGTGACCTTGATGTGTTTTTTTAGCACCTTTGGTATGGTACTAAATGTCTCCATTATGATGTAACCACAACTGAGCAGAAATAGCAGTTGTAAACTTTAAGTCCTCAAAAGACTGGACCGTTGCTAGGAACTGCAGTCTTTGACTTGCTGGTATGGCATCTCTCAAGATAGTGTCCTCCTTCTTTATGTATGGCGTCACTTTCTCCAACAGTTCAACGAAAGTTACATTATCCATTCTCAAAAATTCTTATAATCTTGAGATCACACCACTATTTCCTTTAATGGGGCGTAGTGAGAGAACTTGGGTCTTTTTCTGTGCCATTCCTTCATCCACAATTTATTTTTCTTTTTTTCTTTGAAGTCTCTGTTTCAAGAGCAAGTATAATATCAATACATGCTGTCACCCAGTGTTGAGGCAGCACATACCACACACCAACTGAAGTTTGATCATTCTAGTTGTAAAGTGTGTGGCGATGTATGATGCATGATCAAACATCATGTTTGACAAACATATTTGATAGTGTGTGGATGCCTTTAGGGGGGTTCTGTGGGGTGGCATTTGGAAGAGAGTCAGTTCCTACATTTTCGTTGTTGTGACCACTGCTCCACTGTGCACTCGGCTTTTATTTTGTATTCAGTGCTTTCCCTGGTGTATTATTATGGCCACTAATGCAAATAAAGCTAAATAAGACCACTAAGGATCAGAGACAGAATCGATGCTGGGGTCTCCATGAACGTTTTCTGTGAGGAGTTTGGGCTGAAGTGTAACTGAATATTAAGTGGAATTAAATGTGTGTGAATATACGCACTGTAACTGTAAGCAGCCCCCATCATCCTTCTCCTCAAGTTTCATCTGCTACAATAAAAGAAAGTGCAGCATAAATGTGTACTTTTAACTTTAATATTGTTTTTGGATGTTATTTTTCAGCAAAATGATGGTTAAAAGCACCTGAGGGGAAGGTTATGCATAAGCTGGAAAGCCTCGAGCCCCATATAGTCCAACTTAGGGAGGTCTTACTTTTCTTCTTGCCCATTGCCTCTCCCCCTCCCATACCTCAAAACCATACACTCATTATATTTATCTTTCACTTCCCACACCTTCAATATGTACAGTCGGCCAAAGATGCACCGACCCCACCCTGGGTCTCGTGGTCGCAATTTTATCTGGCCATACTTGGTAAAGGAAGGCTGTATGTAAAGGTGATTGTGATTGGTGGATCTGTTTTAGACTGTATCACTGTCAGGATAATTATTAAACAAACTAAAGGTAACATTTTTATAATAATAAACTATTCGTTGTTATTTAAGGTCATGAGAAGTTTCCAAATGTTCGTATATTTGTTTAAATAATGAAGAAAATTTGATGTGAGAACCTTGTGGCAGCTGTGATTGTAGTCGAGTTGCCAATTCATTAATATAATTTTCTTCACTTAGCAAATATACAAAAATTTGGAAACTTCTCATGGCCTTAAATAACGAATAGTTTATTATTATAAAAATGTTACCTTTAGTTTGTTTAATAATTATCCTGACAGTGATACAGTCGAAAACAGATCCACCAATCACAATCACCTTTACATACAGCCTTCCTTTACCAAGTATAGCCAGATAAAATTGCGAGCACGAGACCCAGGGTGGGGTCGGTGCATCTTTGGCCGACTGTACATACCACCTTACCATACCCTTATCAGCTCCCTATCCAGCCGTCTTTCATATCTCCATCTAATTTCCTATAAAATACATACACACATTGCCCCAGAGTGAGCTATCAAAAGTAGGTTCCTAAATTTGCATCTCATCCAGAAAAAAAAAGGGTTGCTGAGTACAGTACTAAACTGAATTTGTTACACATCAATAAAATGAAATAAGAAGGTAAGGAGGTCTTACCAACTGGACAAGCTACTATGACTTTAACATTGCAAAATATTTTGTTATGATATAAAATCTGTATAGCTGGATGTGATTCTTTTTGTGTTCATGAACATGTACAGTACTCACATAACATTATAAATATTAAAGAGGTGATGCATCTTGATGATCATTGTCCCTGTGGAAAAGAACACGAGGAGTCGAAGAAGGAATCCAAGAGGTGTGACTTCTTGTGGGTGTGTTAGGATGTGACAACTTGGACGGGGCAGAGCAGGTGACTGATGAATGATGAACACGGGAGAAATATGGAGACTGCCAACTGTAAACATGAAGAGTATTAATAAAATGGTGATTAAGAGAGTGGCTTGGCTGCAAAAGGAATAAAAAATTCAGCAGTTTTCATAACAAACTTTTCACAAGATATATTTGTTTTCTTTTCCAGTCTTTAGTACTTTTTCTTTAATTTCAATACTTTGTATTTCCCACCTCTTCTCTAAACAAATGTCATATATAATTCAATTATATGACCATCAAATTTCTTTAGCAAATGAGACAAGAAATGCAGTTGGATTTCGAATTTACTCGTGTAAAGATGTTCAGTATCCAATACAGTGATATCTCTGTTAGCTGGAACAAATGGTGCAGAGCACTTCCAGGAATGAGAGATTTCCGGGTAACGAGACGACTCTTTCAGGGCCGGAAAAAATCCCTCATCCCCCTGAATTTTCCAGGTAATGGAAAAATTTTCCCAGAACTTCCAGAAATTGCCCATTACATCATCTCTCAAACCCGGAAAAATATCCCCAACCCCGGAATTTTCCGGGTACCAGAAATCTTTCTCGGAATTTCCGGAAAATGCACTTGATTTTTATCGCTCAAACCCAGAAAAAACCTCCCCATCCCCCAAATTTTCCGGAAAATCATTCCCAAAGCAGAAATTTTCTGGAAAATTCCAGAATTAAGATAATTCACAGATAATTAAGATGATTATTTCTTTTACCTTTTTACACATGGTGTATGTAGGATTGTGGGTGCATGCAACTGAGTAAAAAAAAAAAGTGAAAAACTTTATCTATCTGAACTATGAGTTTAAAAATAATTATAACATAACTCACCCAGTTCATCTTCCTAATTCTCACTGGTGCACAAAGAAATGTTTATTCCTTAATGTTTTTGACCTTACGATAATTTTGTGGGCATATTATGTACCTGTATGTAGGATTGTGTGTGCATGTAGCCAAAAAATAAAATAAAAATTTTATACTGTACGTATTCCAAAAATTACAAGCTGAAAAATAACCATAACATAACTCCTACTTTAGCCTTGTAGGAAGAGTGCTCGGGGGATATGACTGCCCCAGCTGACTTCTGTGGGCATGAGATTTGAATTTTTGCCAGGATCCAAATTTGTATTAGTGGGGGAAGCTTTTGTAACATGAAAAGAGGTGGTAATTTAGGAAATTATGAAAACGAATTTTCATATTTTGAACGTTCATCTTGCGAGGGCTACTGGTAATGATATTTTGTTTAATCTTATGATCAAGTGCACAACTTGGTTTCACACAAGCATCAGCCTCAAAGGTAGCAACACAACATCTTATCAAAATGCATGAAAACCTAAACTAATCTTTAACTTCTTCTCACTAATGTACATAGAACTTCCTAATCTGGCAAGATATTATTCAGATATTTTCATCCTCCCTTCATACGATTCACTTGGTACTGTGCTGACAAATTGATGTATTTTTATTTCTTAGACCCCGTTACAATCCTATGTAATATTTATTTAGGCATCACTTCAGTATACCTTGTAGTACAGTACTGGGTATCTGCTGGTGACCAAACAGGCCATCTACTAACTATTTATATTTTGGTCTTTGTCATAAAAATTTTCAGCATAAAATACCTTTTCAATATCCAGTGTTCAGTTTATCAAGGGTATTTGAGAATAAATAAAAAAATCTATTTAGTATACACAACTGTACATAAAATGAAGAAAGTAAAACAAATACAATAAGTAAAATACTGAGGAGTACCTGTTTCTCTGAGCTTCTGAGTACGAAGATATCAGATGGCACCACTGAAACACATGTGGGTATTTTGCTCCATCTATGTCTCTCTCTCCAATGGCTCCTAGCACGTCTGCATCCAATTTGCTGGCCTCCAGACTGTAAGTCAACACAAAGAACCAATCTTACTACAGTACACTTTACTCTCCAAATAGCATATTTTTAACTATACTACAGAAATACACCAAAGACAATGCTCTATCTCACAGTACAGTATAAAGACAGACCTAAAACTCAACTATAAGAGTGACAGCCCATTAATAACAGAACTGAGAATATTCATCCTATTAGTTAAGAGGGGGGTGAACACACCTTTTACCTGAGCAATGTACACTCATATCCTATTGGCAGCCAAGTGAAGACATCTACTTTCTTAACAGTGGATATTAATACTAACTGCATAACCAGTGACAATAACTTAATTAAGCATAGATACAGGGAGACAGATGTCTCAGAAATAAAGGAAGAAACAAGTTAACCTGCTACATATTCATTTGGAAGTAGACACTTAAGAAAACAAGAACTTGTACCACAAAAATTAGTTATCTGTACAATATACAGAACAAGAACAAATACAGTAAATGTATTAAAAATGAAATTCCTAAATTAAACCTTTATTTCCACACCATTTAGCTATGAACACCAAATATGTAAAGGTTCATCTTTATTACCTTCAATAATCTACACATTATATCTTTTAGAAAATTCAGTTGTTTTTAATATGAGAAAAAAATTCTTTCACTGCACTTACATATACATTTATAAAGAAGTACAGTAAGGAATATTATCACAGATGTAAAGTAACAGCCTACATGGTAAGTCAAAAGGTTGAAGCAAGCTCACAACTCCCTGTACCTCCTTTCTCAGCATTCATAAACCATACTACTTACCTTGTTTATGTTATTTAACAATTGTGCAATTTTGAACAACATTTGTATACCATCTAGATAAAAAACGCAGCAAAAAAACATTAAATAAGAGCCAAATGAAAGTTTAACACAATTGCCATTTGCAAAGACACTGCAATGTAGACACTACCCACACTCCACGCTCTCCTCCCGCTCCCCCATTGAGTCAGCTAACTCGTATGCAAAGAAATTTTTATTCCCCTATGTGTTTGACCTTATGATAATTATATCTATTAATTTTTTTTTGCACAATATATATGTAGGATAGTGTGTGCATGTAACTGAGAAAAAAGTTACAAGTTGAAAAATAATCATAACATAGCTCACATCTTGGCCTGGTAGCCTGGTGGGTACAATGACAGGTAAAAGTTGGTTACAATGTAGTCAGCCATGTTAACAGATGCCAATGTGAAAAGAAAGTTATCTGTAAATCTATTTTTGTATCAGGTATTTGTAGATTTAAAGGTAAATGTTGCAGGTATGACATTAATAGATATTAAAGCTTGTAAGTTCAGAAATGGTTATTGCTGACCTCTGAAGAATTGGGTGCCTGCCATATGGGTTATAAATCCAGTTTTTATATTTACAATATGCAATTTTTTTTTTTATTAATTGAAAGGAATGATAATGTGCTTAAGTAAGCAATAACATATTTTTAATTCTGGAGTTAGGTTAGGTAGAATTTAGTCTACAGGAAACAACAACTGGGGGATTCATCAGCCTTTGGGAAACCGCACCTTCATATAAATGGATGCAGGCTAATTTCACCCCCATTTTTCAGACAAAAAAAATGTCTTAAATGCCGTAAAATGCGTCATTTTTCAAAATCTAGGGTTGAATTATAGCTTGATTTAGCAATGAGTAAAAGGGTATAGGTTCCAATCTTTCTTTAAGTTTGTGTTGTTGTGATGTGAGCTGGGCTGGTGGGACCATGTGGTCACAGCTGCATCGCTCAACAACAATGTGAGTAAGATGATAATTGTAGCAGTGTATATTTGAATTTATTATCAAGAGTAACAGGTAAACAGTGCTTTGTTTGTACTCCACACTCCACTACCATGTGGTCGCCCAGAAGCTCCACCCACAACTGTGTGATATCATTGATGAACTGTGCTATACAAGTATGGTACAATGAAAAGGAATGAGTTTTTGTAGTCACCACTGCCACACTACAAAACTCATGGGCAGTATCAACCAGTGGCATACCCAGAAATTTGCCAGGGGGAGGGGGGCAAACTTTGAACTAAATATACCAAGGTATGGTTGAAATATGAGATAAATATTTTTTCTGTATGTTCATGATGAGCCTACCACTCAATAAGTGATGCTATTAGTTTTATATATTTAGCTCTTGTTATTATTTTTCCTTTCTTATTGTTAAAAATGGTTAATTTTTAAAAATTTATTAGCTGGGGGTTTGCACCCATTGATTCCCCCTTCAGTACACCTATGGTATCAACAAAATATGCTAATCTTGTCTCCTGACTGATTCGTACCTGCTCTATAGTAATAATAATAATGTGCTAATATCTTGGCATCTTTCCTTATACTGTACAGTACTGTATTGTTGTACAGGTGTACCCCGAAAACCGACGCATATAGGGACAGGGAAAAGCTGTTGGTTAGTGAATCAACCGTTATCGAAGCAATTAATCCCATAAGAACGTAACAAATTCACGGGGTTAGGGACCGGCCACCCTCCAAAAACTCCCATCTACCCTTGCTATATTTCTGTTGTGAACACTGTCGAGCAAGAAAACAAAGCAGACATAATAAGCCTTAAATAAGCAATGTAAAGCATAAATTGGGACTTATTTACCTGTGTTGAGGATGGTAGAGACGGTCTAGGGTGGCAAGTTCAAGTCTACCAATCTTTGCTGGTCCATCACCACTCTTATTATGCCTTATTACAACACATCAAGCTGCCCTTCACAAGAGGAACTATCACCGGGGCATTTAGGCATGATTACGTAACACACGAAGTTGGAAATAACAAAAAAACATGAAGTCAGAGACACATGGTAAGTGTAAACTAGCGTAAAGATGGCAGGAATGAGTCAGAGGCAGTGTACAGAGCCCTCTCGTGGCAAGAATTCGCACCATGCCACCGCCCGCCAAATTCAAAACAGCTCTGCTGCTCCTCTTCTGATTGTCGGATCTCCGAAGTATCAATGTTGCTTGCGGGGTGTTTCCCTATATGTAATCATTGGTTATGCAAAGCGGCAGATAATGGGGCGGCAGTTTTTGGGGTATACCTGTATCTACTACTTGCATATTGGACTTGAATAGTTACAGATATGAAGTAAAATTATTGTTTGGAAGTAGAAGGGTGGCTCTCAGGGAATTTTGAAAGGAATTATTTATATTTTCTCATCAAAAGTACCACCAGAGGCAGCAGCATCTATATTATATTCCTTTCTCTTTTTGGTCATAATACTGTACAGTACGGATAAAACAATATTCGATCACAATACAAAATATTTTGTACTGCACTGTAAACATTTGTTATCAAGTGATGCGCACAGTGATCTATTTTTCTGGGGTTACATGGTTCAATAACAGAGTTTGACTGTGCAATAATGAAAAATGAAAGTAATCAAGTGTGCCATGCAATAAAAAAAAAATACAGTATATTGAATCATGATATATCAAGGGTCTACTGTATATATTATTAATGTTCATAAAAAACTTAAGAGGTATATATCTGATATATGAACTAGAATAAAACACTTACCCATTAATATAGACTTTGACACCTTCTTCTGGAGTGACCATGATATCTTCCAAAGAAGAGGCTGCTGTTGCAAAACTGTCATTATCATCATCTTGTTCAGGGTTTTCCTCATCAGGTCTTGAGTAGCTGCCAACTTTCTCATAATCAACTTCATTCTTTACACCTATCATCAAGTTCTGGGATTCGTCTACACCATCTTTCACAATCAAAGTAGTTGCGATTACTTCCTCATCCTCTCCATCCTCAGTAAATGACAACTTCTTGATAATACTATTATCAGTTTTAATATTCTTCACATCTTTTCTATTTTCCTTAAACAAAGATTGATGAAGGAAATGAAAGGCTTTTGCATACTTTGTGGTACTAACCGGTGTAGATCTAAAATTGTCTGAATGTGTAATATCTGTACTGGTGTTCCAGTGACAAGTACATTCACCTAATTGCATTAAACACAGTTTCATGTTATTTTCATTATCTTTTACAGTTAAGTCTGTACTACAGTTATTATAAATAATATTCAATGCTTTTTCAAAACACTGCAACACACATGTACAATGATGTGCATCATTTTGTTTATCTATATCATTCATTTCTGGCTTTGTGCTACCTTCTTCATCAGAGGAATTTAACTGTATAAAGTTCAAATGAGACACAAAGATTTTCATTGTTTCTGCTAACACACATATATCAGAAGGCATCAAATTTTCCTGAAGAAATTCTGTAACTTTAGATGCTAAAAGCATATGAATAAACCCAAACTCCATATTATTTTGAAGTTCTTTTGTGCAGCACCTACTGATAACATTCTTCAAACACAGAATTTCTGGCCTAAGCTTAGTTCGAACAGTTTTAGTTACAGATAAATTAGCAACAGTGCTTGACTGAAGATCCTTCGCCAGATCTCCCATAATCTCAGCCATACGATGTGCAGCAACATCAACAGATTTTATTATATATGAGAGTTGTCGTGCAGCAGCCTCCTGTTCCACCTCTGTCTTCCTCACTTCATTTTGTCCACTGACAGGTTTACCTTCTTTGGGTCTACAAGACTCAAGGAATTTGCTGCAAAAGAAAGTAATGATAATAAATTTGAACATTTCATTCTTATTTGTGTATCAATATGGCATGGCACTTTATTTCATAGTCCATGAAAATGAATTACTTTTAAATGTAGATCGATTCTGGAATACAGTACCATTTTATGGCTGAACCCTGAGTTAAGTACAGAGTAATGTGTATTTATGTTCACCAGTCTATGGGGTTGAAACCCCAGGAGTCCTTTGATATTAGTGGCCAGGACTGATTATGAATTAGAAACACCTTCCTGCCACAACCTCATTTCTAAAGGGGATCTTTAAAAATGAAAAACACTATTAACATAGAGGGCTAAGAGTTGTGATGTCACATTAGTATGTGTGCAACTTGTGCATCACTTGGGTCAGCCACACAGGAATCTCAAATGTCGATCTAATTCAGTTCTAACTAACTACATATTTCCAACTTTGATGAGGAAGGGTACCCGAGTCATTTAGTTCTGGGCTCTACAATAAAATGGGGTTTTAGGATTAATCCTCTATTTATGGCCTCGTGCTTTCACCAAACAACTCATATAGCTCTCTTAAAGAACTAGAAAATGGGAGGTGTTCCCAATGCTAGTGTTGACCCTTCATTCTATACTTGTCATAGCAGGGCATAAAGAAAGATGAACTTACAAACTTCCCATTACATCCACTACAGCTAGATGCCCTTCTTAGCACTCTCTTAACTGGCAAGGCTGGTAACTCCCAGAAGTAATCAAAGAATACCGACCTTCCAGTCTAATTTTCTTTAGCCTGGCTTGGCCTGGAGATTATCAGGTATCTAAAAACTGTTCCCAAAACTTGACCAACATGGTTGGAAACTATTTGGGTCCCATCATCACCAGGCACAATCAAGACCTATCCTGTTTTCCATAATGACTAAGAAAGGTAGAACTATTCTCCAACAAGAAACTGAAACTCATCCTGAGAGATGAATATCAACTCACTTCAAAAACATGAATTCTTATGATTCTCCTCAAAAGTAAACCTAACAAGAAGATGACCAACAACTCTACCAATTTCTTTTTGTTGTTCAGAGGACTTTTAAACAAAAAAGAGATAAGAACCTGATGTGGCATATTAAATCATATTTCGAAATATAAGTTTTATAATCAAGTCATCATTTGGTGAATACTGTACACATAATGGACCATAAATATCAGTTGACAATACAAGACTCCCATTGAAACTCTCAGCAATATTTACCTGTACATCCTCTATCACAAGTTTGATCCCCTCTGAAAGGAAAGCATAATGCATGCTGAAATAAATCATTAACCCCTTCACTACAGGGATGCTACTTTTCATATTTTATTTGATTAACGCCAGATGATTTAAGGACAGAAAGGACCCCGTACACAGGGGTTAAAATAGGCTGGACACTACAGTATATCTGGAAAATTCCTCATACAAACATTGCAATGTCTAACAGTTAGCATATCAGTGCTATCACATCAACACTAGCCTATTAACTATGACCTAGCCTATTAACTATGATCACACCATTACACACTGTGGGCATATGAAGATAAATTTGGATACAGAATCTTGGATATGGTCATAACTGCATAGCCCTGCCAAGTACTCACAAATTGTGGAAGGGTAGCTCAACTTTAGGGAGAAACAGGAGTTACTTGTCTGCATCACAGCTTCCAACACAACAAGTACAATCTAAGTACAGGGGTTCCTTGTTATTCATACAAACGCTATGTGTATACTCAGTTTACGAATCAAATCTTTATCACCCAATTATTTTTTTATTTGTATGCCATATTCAGTTATATGTACCAGTATAAATATGGTATAGTAAAACCTTGTTTTAATGGGCTAATATGATAGAAGGGGTGTCCGTTAATGCCAGTAATGTGTTAAATCTGGATGTTTACTACACTGTTTACATACAATCTTATATAATAACCATACAGTACCGGAAAACAACTTATATACATGAATTAGAGTGTGATTACAGGACAGGAAACAGCAAGTAAGCATAAACAACACTAAATCCGATTGGAGTAACGTCATTAGTGGAGTTCCCCAAGGCTCAGTACTTGGACCATTATTATTTATTATATACATAAATGACATAGATATAAGCATAGACAGCAACATAAGTACTGTAAATTTGCTGATTATACAAAAATAGGGTGTGTACAGTGGTCTCTCGGTTAACAAACAGAAGGTCGTTCGTTAACCGAAACCATTGTTTCAATGGGATTTTGGGTAATTGGTTCCAGCTCACCGAAAATTACATACAAAGTAAAAAAAAAATGCAGTAAAGTACACTTACTTTGAGGTGTGTATGTAGAAGACTCCTGGTTGATGATAATGATGGGAATTAGAAGTGGGGGTGGAGGAGAAGGGAGAAGAGAAGGAAGTAGGGGTGGAAGAGAAATCACCCCATGCTTGATGCCGTCATTTCACCCATAAAATTTTAAGTTCACTAGGTGTAATTCTAGATTATTTTCTTTAAATCAACACTGCACTGCACTATATATTGTCAATATGTTAAATAAATTTCAGAATGACCAATAATTGTAAGGTAAAAACAGAAAAATACTCTGTGTTCAAGAGACCCACAAGCAAGATGTTTCCTCCACTGAACAGAGATACAAACTGAGGCCTTGGTGGGTGAGTGAAGTGGCTGATGGGCACACCATAAACTAGTTCCCTGTACTGCAATTATGTTAAATAAGTGCTAAAATTACTAAAAAAAATTATATAAAACTTGGAAAATTATTGAATAGTACAACCTTCTTGATATTTACTTCAATTTTAACGAATGTAAGCCCTAGAACCGATTTCTGTATTGGCGGACTAATCTCCAGCTGGTGAGCAAGCCAAAGAATGTCGAAACATTTTCGTAAGAATTTCGTTAACCGAATTGAAGATTCTTATGGAAGGTAATTCGTTAACCGAGGCGTTCGTTAACCGAGGGACCACTGTAATTAAATCTGACGTGGACTCCACAAAACTACAGGAAGATCTAAAAAAAAATTTTGAATGGTCTGAAAAAGTGGCAGATAAAACTGAATGTCGACAAATGTAAAGTACTTAGTCTAGGAGATGTAAACAGAGAAACCAGATACCGGATGAACAAAGATGTTAAAGAGAAATCCGACTGTGAGAAAGATTTAGGAGTGATGATAAGAAGGAATCTTAAACCAAGTAAACAATGCGTATTTGCTCGAAACAAGGCTAACTAAGTACTTGGGTTCATACAAAGGAGTGCTAGTTACAAGACAAGCGAGGTCATCCTAAAATTATATCTTGCGCTTGTGAGACCTCACTTGGATTACGCAGTTCAGTTCTGGTCAACGTACTACATAATGGATACAGAATCCTTAGCATTAGGAACCTTGGGTACAGAAACAGGTGAAAGCATCTTAATTTGCACTCCCTCAAGAGACGTAGAGCGAGGGGCCATATGATCGAGGTGTAAAAATGGAAGTCAGGGCTAAACAAGGGAGATATAACAAAGGTACTCAAACTATCCAACCAGGAGCAAACTCATAACAATGGTTTTAAATTACAGTATTTAGATTTAGGCACGAGATAGGTAAACATTGGTTGGGAAATAGAGTAGTTGATGAGTGGAACAAGTTACCAAACATCATCATTAACTTGAATACGCTGGATAGCTTCAATCATAGGTTGGATGGATATCTGAGTGATAGGAGTTGGTGTAAATGGGATTGCTCAGTATGGGCCAATAGGCCCGCTGCAGTTTCCTCCATTCTTATGTTCTTATGCTGCCATGTATTGAAGGCGAGGGAAATAATGTTTTTAGCAGTTGATCGACTGTCTTCATTTGATATTTATTTATTAAGCCTTTAAACCATATTTAATGAAACATACAGTATTAAAAATATTGAATGTTTTTCTAAGAAATGAAACAATGAAGACCTATTTAACCCCCATACTGTTCCTAGCCACTTGGACTACTGTTCCATAGATTGTTCCTGGCTGCCTGGGTGTCACTAAGTTTCAAGGTATTGTTTGAATGGGACCATGATGTTAGAGTGGGAAGCTCGTCCTCAGACACATCACTGCCAAACAGTAGGAAGTCTCAGTTGCTCCTTGAATGCCAGATGGGAAGTATGATAAAAAAATTTCATAGCACTCATTGCCACATTCCACTACCCATCATTTTTACAGGTGCTACCTTCACTGACTTTGGCAGCCAATGTAAACCATAAAAACTGGTAAATAGGGTTATGTTTGTATATTATTGAAGAAAATTATTATTGTTAATGTGCACAGGAGTCTGATTTTTTGAGTGAATAAAATGGTAAAATAAAGGATGAAAAGTAGAAGAAGTATAATAAATGTTTCCCAGTGCTTTTCAGTGTTTGTGTGTGCTTCTCTGTAATTATTAGGCATTTTTGTGTTGTGTTAAGTAATTTTCTAATTTTCCCCAGTTAGTTTAGTTTTAGCAAACACCAATAAATCACCTCTAGGGTATAAATGACTCAATAATCACTGTACAGTACATCAATTTATAGTATTTGGCAATAAAGATTCCTTTCTGACCAGGCTACAAAAAAATTAAATTCTTCAGGATTTTCCTACAACCTAATTTAATTCAACCATATGGGCATTCCTAAAAAAATAACAGGAAGTGAAAGGGCTAATGATGATAAGGATAAGCCACATTACTACAGGCATACATTAGACAAAAGACCAGTGAGGAATAGAATGAAGTAAACAAATCTTAAGAAACCACTTTTTCAAACTTCAACACTAATTCAAAGATTCCAAACACTTTATAACAAACCACAACTCTCCTTGAGTATGAAGCAGTTGTTCACACTCAAGGTGACTCATGTTGTGTTTGAGTGGCGTGTGTGGTGGCCTCTGGTATTGAGGATGGGGGAACTTATATTTTCTTCAGCTGATTGACTGTCTTCACTTACTAAACCTTTAAAAACTTATTTAATAGAACATTTGAGAGTATTGCAAAAATTTAATGCTTCTCTAAGAAAAGAAATATTAAAAACATATCTAATGTTCTTACACCAAAGGCAACGAGGATACACTGAAATGAAAACAAAACTCACAAACTACAGACGATGCTCTATCACAGAATGCAGTCAACAACAGTGGGAGCAGGATACCTGTGGATGCCCACATGCAGTGTCTCAATACATCCACAAATCACGCCCAGGCAAAAAATTACTGTTCAGTACATTATATCTAATATGATTAGAATGTGCTTTATTTATTGCTATACAGCAATTATATGATTAGTACAAGTATGTGTTTCTGTGGTTTTTATTTGAGATTAACCAACAACAGAATCTAATTTGACTGGTTAGGAAGTGAATCCCCCAATTTATATCAGAAGTGGTTGTTACATATATGGAATTTTAAAATGGAACCCATATTAATAATGAGGACCCACTGCAATGGTATATAGGTGTTAGAACAGAGAAAATTATACAGGGTCCTCACACAAGATCCTTCATACAGGCCTGCCCAATTCCCTTGTTGGGAATCACGGTGATAAGCGTGCATCCAGCCACCCCACTCAGATTTTACTATACTGTATGTCAAATCTACCTCACGGTACAAGGCAGATCCCCTAAACCATGTGTCAAAAACAGCACTGGGATTAGGGTTTTGATTTAAATATACACTCTGTACATGGTTGGGGTAGCAGGCAACTCCCAATTGCCAAACCCACTACAATCTCATAAGTTGCTATCAAATGTAAAATAGATAGTAAAATCTCTTGCCTTAAGTGCAACAATATTCAGATCTATTTACCACTGCAACCTAATAGGAGCCAAAGATGCATAATGAGGCCAAGCAGAGACAGGAGGTTTGCTCCCTTCACTGTGTTAACAGTCAGAAAAAGAGGTAGTTATGCATCACAGTTTATCACAGAGCCTGAGGTGAACAGGTGGTGTTAGCATTGTCTAATGTTTGACTGTCAAGCAAGTGTGGCTTCTTTCTTATCTCTTTTGGAGTGGCCATGGTTGTTGTAGGGGAAAAGGCTACAGTTTTCTTCACATTACTGCCCCAACAAATAGTACAGAGACGAAAACAACTATCGGTGCAGGTGGGGGTCGATATGCTCCAAAATTTTACGTGCGACTAGTGACAGCCCTCGTATACCAAAATTTATCGTCCATGGTCTCATATTGTTTCCCGCAAAGTATGCACAGATAGTTGTTTTAGCCACTGTACATTCATGAGTTGTTCTAGACAGCTTTAGGTTATAAAGTAAGGATGATAGATTGACACATCTATAATATCTATCTATCTATCTATCTATCTATCTATCTATCTATCTATCTATCTATCTATCTATCTATCTATCTATCTATCTATCTATCTATCTATCTATCTATCTATATCAGCTAGACCCGACTCTACGACGGGGTTAGGGACCCAAATCCAGGTCGAAGTCCAATAGTCGAAGTCCGACAGATAAAAAAAAAAAAAAAAATTAATAAAAAATCTACAATGAAATACAGTACAATAAAAGTAATAAATAATGATGAATGGATACAGTACATTGAAAGTAATAAATAATGAGGAATGGATACAGTGTGACTGAGCACTTACCTTTAATGTTGTCAGCTGAATGCACATGGGGCCCCCATAATTTTCTAATTATACATGGAAACTACATTAACTGGAAACGTTTCGGTATAGAAAATGCGTGTGTCAATTGGAGAAGAAAAAAAAATGGTCACAACTGCGGCGGTCATAAGTCCAGGCGGTCATAAGTCCAGACGGTCGTAAGTCGAAGCAGTCGTAAGTCGGGGTCTAGCTGTATGTGTATGTGTATGTGTGTGTATATATATATATATATATATATATATATATATATATATATATATATATATATATATATATATATATATATATATATATATATATATATATATATATATATATATATATATATAATTTTTTATTATACATTGTACAGTATTCAATAAACATTACATATAATCAAACACTGTCTGTCAACCTATCACAACCCATGCACAAGTTTACCTGCTAGCACTAATGATATCTGGATCAGCTGTATCACGCTGAGGCGATAGTGAAGCATTAAGTCTCAATGCTTCCAATTCTTGACACAGTTCACTCATGGTACTTCTACTTGATTTACTTAAACCCGAAACATTCAGCTCTGCATCATTACAATCATCTGGAAAAAAATGTGCCATGAAATTAACATGTAATAATCTATTTCCCCTAAACTGAGGGGTAGGCAACCCCCTATCAAGGTTACCTTAGTCAGGGGAAGTGATATATTGAATAGCTGGCTTAATGCATAACACAGAAAATAGCACCAGGCTGAACCCATGTCTCTTGGGAAGGGAGCCCAAAGTGCCACCAACTCAATATAGTTTCCTATAGATGTGCTACTAAACTAAAGACTTGGCAAAGGTGATTTATGCATTAGCCCAACGTCTATATGATCATGAACCATAACTATAATACTGTAAATAAAGACTGAAAATGTGGATTATTGAACTCAACCCAGATATTCATACTGTACTAAGGAGAAACACAATAAATGTAATTTTATTCATAGAAGCTTTTCTCAAGTTACAGATTGGATAATAACATTTTATATAGAGATAAAAAGAGTGGGGTGGGATGGTGTTATATACAGTACAATACAGTACTATACCCCAATTTTCAACAGCCAGGACATAACAATGTATATAAGTAACAAATTCGTTTACATATTGAAGATCCCCAGAGAAGGGACCGCTAAAATACAATCTGAACAGCATGGGAAAAGCTTTGGTATGTATATTAGTCACATTTTCTATATAGTTCATCATAGTGAGGTACATTATGATACTGCAATGGCAATTTTGGAAGTAATTTTGCTAAATTTTTAATGTACAAATATGTGGAAGCTGCAGCAACAATTCTAAGTTATATGAGAAATGGAGAAAGTTTTAGCTAAATAATAGGAATTAAATTTGGCATAAGCAACTTGGTGAGTTATTGCTCAGATGAGTAACCAAGCCCTACCCAAAGTGTCACTATGTCATCTTCAGTAGGAAGAGAGTGGAACTGATGGAAATGACTATCCACGTCTGAGTAGTTTAGTTTTTAAAGAAGAATTTATACAACATATTAAATTTTTAGTGATGCTGTGAAAATTATTCTACCTAGAATCTGTGACGTGTAAATACAGTATTACAACTGACAGCTTACTGAAGGGAACTCTGTAATGTGTTTGTATACACAGGTAGTGAACTTCTGACGCAATTCATTATTGAATGTATCTGTTGCCAGAGATCAGTTATTGATTTTTCAATATGTTATATGTAATTTATCCTTCCGGTCTACTAGCAATCTAGTTATGTTGGGAAGAACTTTGTATCATCAGTATGGGTTAAATGAGAACCATTCAGATGGTGGCATTCTCAGCCCAATACATCTTGCTAGAATAGTGGAGAACGATGTTAGCCAATGGAGCGCTATGGTAGCAGCTCAGCACTGTCAACCCTTCCGGGTGACTTGATGCTCATTCAGGCATCATCGCTCAAGCATGATTAATTGAAGCAGTGATGTCTGTGAATCTTGATTGGCAACAAATAGAGAACTTGGTGATCCCTCAAAATATGAGTGCTCTGAAATGAAGTTAGCTTGATTAAGAAACAGAGTTCAATGAGCTTTGGGACATTTGAGATAAGAGAAGGGAGAGGTGTATGATATAGTGAGGTAGATGTTTACAATTGTCTCACTGGTGACTCCTGGAACAATAAGAGATATCAAATGGAATAACTTACTGCAATATCACAGTTATGAGTCATATTGATTATGTTTGGGAGAAAATGTAATCTCCGTTGTCTTATTATGATGATACAATGTGACTCGTGGTGTTCTTCCTACTTTAGATGAGTGATGTGCAACTGGAGGATGAAGGACAGTTGTCTGGACTGCTAGATGACGGAGGAGACCACAGAATTGTCCCTGGGGAACTAGTGTTGAGTGAGGAGCTACAAGGACTGGAGAGCTCAGCTCATACATTACAAACAAGTGTCCATCAGTAGAGGATGTGAATTCAGTAGTAGTAGTAGTTTCACCAATGACAAATTTATGCATCTCTGGAACGATCGAATCTTTTAGAAAATGGTCTACTCATAGACTGAAACCGTTGGAATTCAATCAAACTGTTCCCACCTGTGAAAATGTTGCCCAAAGTGGTTCACAAATTCAGATCCTTCCAAGGAAAGGTCTTCTTAATTGGACCATATTGGATCCTACAACCGTGGTGTCTCGATCTGTTGGAATGGTGCCCGCATCCACTACAATTGCAACAAGGATGTCCAGACCAGGTACTGCACCCTCAGTTCAAAATTTTCCTTGGCACTTCACGCTTGGAGTTTCTCAAAAGATGTTTAAATAGATTGTTGGGTAATTCCAATATAGTTAAACAAGTGATAGCAGGTCATAGGTCCCAAACTTCTATGCAATATGAGAAAGCTTGGAGCCTTTTTCAACAATTCATTAAGTTAACGACTCCAATTACATTGTCGGAAACAGTGGTGCTAGAATTTTTAGATTTTCTGTTCAGAATTAAAGGCCTTCAATGTTCTACAATCGCATCTTATAAATCAGCATTGGTTGACCCTGTGGCATGGGGTCTTAATATTACTTTGAACCCCAGAATTTATCAAATGCTCAGATTATCCGTTTTCATTCAGAGACCCCCTCGGACTAAAAGAATCCCATCTTGGTCTCTAGATAAAGTTACTAAATTTCTTATGGGTCCTAATTACAATACAAATCTGAACCAGGACAGATTGCTCCAGAAGGCAGTCTTCCTTCTAGCAATAGCAACAGGTATGAGAATCAGTGAGCTGGTTTCGATTTCCAATAATCCATCATTATTGGTATTTTCTGAGGAAGAAGTCACGCTTTTTCCTTCGGAGATTCTAAGAAAAAATGATAGGGAGAATTTTCAAACTCAACCTATCAGGATTAAATGGCTAATGGATGAGACAAGGGTTCCTCCTATATTGTGCCCAGTTAAGAACCTTCAAGAATGGTTAACCAGATTCCTAACCAAGGCCCCTATGTACTGTATTCTCATCACAGGATGGTAAGAAATTGTCTCCTAGTCAAATGACAAAATTTTATCTCAGTTAGTGAGTCAAACAGACCCTGGCAAGAAATTTTGGCACATGACACCAGGAAATATGCAGGGTCTGTGGCCTTTCTGTGGCATATGAGACTCAGTCAGATCAAAGAAGTGGGCTTTTGGAAATTTTCAAAAACCTTTCAAAACAGCTATCTTCATCTATCTCTGAAAGATGCTTCGCATGTGGTGGTACTGGGGTCCCCTCCCCCACCTAGTTAATCTCCACAACCAGGACCTTCTTCTTCCTCATCAGAATAAAGTGAGTATCCTAATTGGGATATGTAAATTAACATTTTACCTTCCGGTAAATGTTCCTTATGAAGGAAAATATTCCAAACAAGTTAATAATTATTATTTGGACCTAAGCTAGCGGAACCTTATATACAAAGTCACCTCCCTCTCCACCTCCTGCTCAGGTAAGTAAAGCTAGACGTCATATTATGGATTGAACAAAAAGCCGTTTTTTTCTAAAAACCAGTTTTTGTGATAAAGTTCAGAATGCGACGTCGACATCCCACCCATCTCCACCCCTCGATAGTTGACATTTGTTTACTGCTCACTCTGGGGCAAGAGATGACGGTAGCAATGCATGTGATGGAGGGTACGGGAGGGGGTTTTGAGAATTACAATTAAATGCCAGGTAGTGACGTGTCCTCCTAATATTACGAATTTAAGTAATTATCAGATGTTTTAATTGCCTGTATGTTGGCCTGGCCAGTTAATGCAAGGCATATTCATATGCAGGTATAAAGCTAGATGTCGCATTCTGGACTTTATCACAAAAACTTGTTTATAGAAAGAATTTTTTTTTTGGGGTGGGGGATTTCCAAAACAATATGTGTATAATGAAATAGCTTTCTAAGGGGTATGAATCTCTCTCTCTCTCTGTGCAGTGGTCTAGTGGATACAGCTCTTGCCTCCTGTTCCATGAGCCATTGGTTCAATCCCCAGGCACTCCCAGTTCACCCAGCTATAAATGAATTCCTAAGTTTACAACATGGGGAAGTGAATGCAGTCAAATGCAGTACCAGCCATAATGCATCCTTGTGTGCTGAAGGCTCAGTATACAGTGTCCTGTATCCACACTGTCCTTAACAGGCAGTCATGCCTATGGGACCCACTTCCACTTTTAATATGCATGTGTGTGTGTGTGTTTGTGAGTGTTTAGATTTTGATTAATGCCTAAGATGCATTTCTGAAAACTGTGTGCAAATCAGAACAGCTCTAACAAATGAATCTATAATAAGGCTTTAATGGGATTCTGGCTAGACAACACCAATGCTCAACTATAAGTAATACACTGTACTGTATAAGGGTTTCATTGGGATACTGTATTGGTAATAGCACAAATAATGATTGTGCACATTTGATAAATGCTTTAAATAAACTTATATATACATAATAATAAAAAAAATTATGATTTTTACTAATGCTAAAATGTTTGTCTTGATGCAAACACTGACGGTCAACTGGGATCACAAAATTACTGTATGCACGAATAAGAGTTACCATAGTGCTGTAAACATGAGCAAGGGGGAGAACTTTGAAAACTCTGAGGAATTGAGGTGCTGATTGGCTGAGCACTGAGCAGCATTTGCTGTTCTCATTGGCTGACTCTACTGCTCAGAAAAAAGAAGAGAATGATGTATGATGCCTGTTCTCATATGGGACTATTGAACCTCTTAGCAAACTAAATACTGTATATACAAAGGCAAAAAACAGATCTGATGAGAGAGCATTATAACATATGTGAAAATGCAATTTTTTCTCACAAATGGATTTTACATGTTGAACCTGCAGCTCAGATAGAACTGGATGTGAAAGTCGTCAAACCTGCAAGTGTTTCATGATGACAAAAATTTTAACAATGGCAAAAGGGATTTTAAAAAGGTCCACTGCCATAATATTTTTGGTATTGATGATCACCTGTATAATAATAGTACCTCATTGTACAACTATAGCATACTGTATATGCAATGCCTATGCCTGTAGTATAATGTAACACTATTGACATCAACAGTCGCATTATCTGTATATGG